CTTATTCTTCGATTTTTGGCCCACGTGATATCTTAATATCATGACAAGCGAAATTCTCTTTTCACAATATTTTAATTGAACATTATAGTATTTTCCTTAAACTCCTTCTTTACTTTTAACAACTTATAATTATTATTTTTTATATTCATAAATTTTGTTAAAATGTCGATAAAAAAGGCGTGATGACTACAATCAGTGGCGCAGTTTTGGGGAGGGTTTTAGGGGACAAAACCCCCTCCGAAATTATATGCTACTTGCTTAATGAGCTATTGTACGGTAAGTAGGCTATAGTTTTAAAAAAAATTCGTTATTGATTTATTGTAATTTAAACATTTGGAGAATTATTGCAATTTAAACACTTGGATTTACGACTACTAATGTTCAACTCCGTAGCCTTGTAAATTTGAACCAATCCAGAAGACGAGGAAATTCTAGGATTAGTACCACCAGAGGTATGATTTGTTTAGGGAACATGGAGGATTTTGGGACTCGACAGATTTAACCATTTACTACACGGGGAGTCTTCAGTCGGTAGGGATCGAACCCGCGATCTCTTGGACATGGACCCAGTGCCCTACCAACCAGGCTATCCCGGCCATATATATATATAATGTCACAAGGAGATAAACCCCTTCCAAACATATATTAAAATTACGCCACTGACCACAATTGACAAAAAAATGGCAGTTTATGGTTGAATTCCACCCAAATAATCGAGAGTTTACTTTAATTCAAAATATCAATTGAGGTTAAGTTTACTGAAAATCTAGACTTGAAAATGATTTGTGCAATCACTATATTGGATATGCAATTGAAATTGTTGTTTTACTCCCAGGGCTCACCATGAGATTGCTCGTATGCCTTTTTATTCTTTTCTGCTTCAAAAATGGGGATGGAACAAATCCATGGCAGGAGGAGGAGCAAGAAGAAGAGGATCCGTGGGCGATGGATAATCCATGGCCGATGGAGGATCCATGGGCGAACCAGATGATGATGATGCCGCCGGAAGTGCTCATCGTCAAGGAGAAGGGTGGTGGAATGAAGGCTGCGAATAACATGGGAACAAAAGATCTGGCGACCATGATGTGTCTTCTTGCCCCTCTCCTCATGGCTCTCATTATGTCAAAAATGATGATGACGTCCATGATGAATAACATGATGGGTGACGGAATGAGTGGGGGTAACTCGATGCTACCTGGTGGCATGATGCCCCTAAACTCCCTCCTCGTAGCTATGATGAAAAATGATCCCAGTATGCCTCTGCCCATGACGAATAATGATCTACCCTTTACCTACAAGAATTTTGCATCGAAAGATGGATCGAAGAAAGACCAGATTGCACCTCGATCGTCTTTGGCTGATGAGATTCTGGATGCTGTTGAAAGGTCTTCCTTAAAGAAGCATGTTATGGGAATTTTAAATGGAATTTTAGGTATTAAAGCTAAGCCGGTTTAGGTATTGAGCATTAATTCCGATTTTATCATAGAACAAATAGGGTTTTCAGAGCCCAACAATCAAATTTATGATCAAATCACCATGTAAACAAAGAGCAGAATATATGTTGCAACAGCATTTTTAGTACTTAGTAAAACTCTAAATAAGACATGCACATTGAGGGTCACAAAGATTATTTCAAATTTTTGACACTAATCCATTATGGGATACCTGCAAGGGACGTAGTGTAGGTATTTTGATCTTGATTGGTTGTTGAAACGTGGTATTTATTTACGTTAGCAACTACTCTTTCCATTCTATTTCGAGTAAGCCAAGCCCATCAACTACCGATTCACTTAAGTGACGCAGCCTATATTCTTTTTTTTCCCACAAAGATTTCAATTCTTTCCCAATATATTTACACAAATATTTAACACAAAGACAGGCACGAAACCATGCAGAACATAAACATACTTATTATTAATCGAATTTTGCCAGGAATACAACACAAAAATATATTACAGTTATAATAAAATACATAAACAAACGATAAATCAAAGTTAAGTAAAAGAGGCAGACGAGAAAGAATTATATGTTCAACAAATTCGATGGGCGATACGGATTTGTATTTAATTAACTCAACATTGATTAACATTCTAAGTTATGTAGAAACTTAGCACAACTTTAATACGCGACTTTGCTGATGAAGATTAGCTGGCGCTGACGTCATAGGTCACGTATGTAGGTATGGTTTGTCTTTTTCTGGAAGTGCAATTACCCTATTGAGCTCAAAAGCGGGGTTAAAATAGTCTGACACTAGTTTTCTAAAGGTATAGTTTAAAAGAATTCCATAGACAAATAAACTGAAATTTTTGGCAAGTCATTGGACATTGATTAAAGAATATTATATATTAAAAAATTGATGAAATATCGGTTCCTGATCTTTAACCGGAATATTCGTTTCCACATTTGTTGTAAGTTTATTTGGCACCTAATCTAAAATTAATTGTTGTAACTCATTCTTTAAAACGTTAGGAACACTAGGATATATGTTAACTTCAACCTCATCAGATGTAGTAAGATCGATTGGCAAAATGGACAAATAGTTTACTTCATCAAAACACTGAATTTTATTTTTTTTTTATCGAGATACCCTTTTCATTGATAATTGTTTTACCCTGCATCAAAACATTAAGGCCTATAATAGCATTATAAGGCATCACGTCATTTTCTACAACACATATTTCTGCCAAAACATTTGAAATCAGCAATTTCAATATTTTCTTTGAAATAACCTAACGGAGTCACTATTGGTTTAACAAATCCGTTTAGAGAAGAATTGATTGGAAATAGTTCTTTAGAGTTTAAATTATTAAAAACTGATCTTCTGATTAAAATGGCTTGATTTCCTGCATCAACTAAGGATTTCACAGTTAAGTTATCAATTATTACCATTTTAAACAATTTTAGCTCTACACTAACATTTAAAGTAGCAATTTCCATTTTTGCATTTAATTTTGGACATTCAGAAGCTTAGTGCCCAAGCACTTCACATTTAAAACACTATAAGCCCTTATATTTGTGTATGCAATATTTTGAAATATGATTTTTTGAACCACAATTGTAACAAATACCATTATTGAAAGTTTCATCACTATTATTATATTATATTTTTTCATTATTATATTCATATTTATTTATATTTATTTGCAGTTATATTTATTTGCATTTATATTTATTTGTATTTCTATTTGTAACATCTTTTCATACATTAAACTTATCAGCATATTTTGTTTTTGTTCTATCATCAGAATTATATTTACTGTCAAAGTCAAGTTTTGTTTTGATTTTATCGAAAGTACTTTTACTCTTTGCAGAATCACTTTTCATTATTTCACAAATTTCAAGTTTTTCCTTAAATGTGGACAAATTTTTGCAATCATACAAAACAATTTTGTTTTCACGTTTTTCGTTAATCCCCTTAATTACATAATGCTTAAAAGCCGATTCAGAAACCTACATTTTACGTTTACTTAAAAGATCACTCAAATTAACAGGATAAATTTCGAATAAAAATTAGTAAATTAAAGCTTCTTTTAATTTTTGAAATGAATTTATTTCTGGCATAGTTCTGACAAATAAAGAGGCGTTACCATTGACAAAAATAAATTTTTGTAAATCAGACAAAATAAATAATTTATAAATACTTTTGAAATCAACAATATTTTCATGTGATTCTGCATTGAACTTAGAAATAGTACTTCCGATATCAGAATAATTAATAGCAACATTTTGAAATTCAAAATGTTTACAAGAATTATTTTTATCACTTATACAAAAATCAAGATTTTTATTTTCAATATTGCTCTGCGTTGAAAAATCACTTTAATTCTTTTCATTTATCACATTTTGATTAGCATGCTTCGAATTTTCGTTTTCACTTACTTGGCTATTTATTTCTTCTTCTGATTCCAGAGCTAGACGCGTTGGCATTGTTCGCAAGCTCTGTAAGTTGGTTTAAATTCAATAAAAAGGTCAAAATGTTTTAGCTACATCTGTTTTATTACCTTCGAATGAAACATTGAGAATGTTAGAAACAGCTTTTTTTTCGCTAAGTGTGATTTTTTAAAAATATTCCTTTAATTTATTTTTAAATTCTTCGCTTTCAATTGAGAAACCAAAACCATTAAAATTTATTAATCGTTTTCGATTAGAACGATCAACTTCTTAATCACATATGAATTTATGCAGAAGTTTTATTTTATCTGTTTTATAATTCCTCAACGCAATATTTACTTCTTTAATATCATTTAAAATAATTTTTTTAATGAATTAAAGTCCACGTATCTCTTTTATAGTTGAGATGAAATATCCTTAAGATATTAATGGACAAAAATCGCAAGTTTCAGCAGAACATCATTCGCTTACTTGCTGTTCGTTAGAAATAAATATAATTTGATGAAAATCAAGTCATTTCAAATTAATTTAGTAAATCTAAGTTGATCATATTCATTTAAATTTCAATCCAATTTCTACACGATCCAACTTCTGAATTTGTGTTTTATATAATCAGTCCAAAGAAGTAATTGCGTTTGCTTAAATCTTCACGGGATAATTTCCTCCCTGTTAACCTCTCTCCTCATTTATTTAGTAGCTAATTAAAATTTTTGAATAAATATATTTTGTTCCATTTTATTCCTTAAAATGCATTCCATTGAATCCTATAATTAAATTTTAACATTTATTAATTTATTGAAAGGAGAATCCCTTTCCATTTGAGGAGAGGAGAATATCAGGGCTAAAGAGAATAGATTCTCTTTAGTTTCCTTATTCTGTCAAATGTGATGTGCGTGACACTTTTGTATCAGACCAGACCCATCCATTCGTAACGCTGAATCTAAGTCAAATATAGTGTAAAGAATGTAAATTGTGCTAAAATTTTGACTGTTATTAACGAAAAAGGTAGGATAACATTGGAAAAAAATTCACTCATAATTTTTCGACCAGAGGAAATACAAAAATAAACTCTCGTTGTATGAAAAGAATGAAAGTAATGTTCGTCGTTTAGGCAAGGGTTTATTATTGCAAAATACATGTTCGATCATGAAAGAATGGTTTTTAAAATAAATTAAGAAATGTTAGCTAAGTCGGTGTTCTATTTGCCAAAAATAAAATTAATTTTTGACTGGAAATGGAAGAACTGTCTCTCTCTGAGGAAGAAACGGGTTTTGAAAAACGCAATTTTCCTGCTTCTTCATGATTTTGTTGTTCCTCGTGTATTGCTTTCTTGAGGAAAGGCACAAGAACAGGCGTTCCATGCTTTAAAGCTTCTTTTAACTGCTGCATATCCATGTTAAAATCACTTAAAATGGATCGATTAGGAAGTGCTTTAATGGCATCGTTGAGACTGAATGTGTTTATGTTGCTGTCCTCTGCAACATGATCGGAATGACTGGAATTCTGAAGAACCCAGGTGACTCCTACATTAGAGCTTAGCGTTTCTGACGAGACCTCTTCCACAGATGAAGAAACGTTTCTTGAAGGAAAAGTCGAGCAGTTTGATGAACAGTTTGCTTCAGAATTGTCGAACTTAAATTCAGAATTTTGTTGAACGAAAGAAAATGGCGCATTTCGAACAAACGGTGGGAATTCTTTCAAATGATTAGAAGTTTTATTGAATGATGTATTCGTTTGCTTTCGTAATTGTTCTGATTGTGAATCAGTTATAGGTACGGGGTGAAGTACTATATGAATTTCACGACCATCGTTTTGGACAGCTTGACTCAAAATACTAGCAAGCTCCGATTCTGTACCATGAATTGGCTGTCTAAAGTATACTTGGTGACCTTGTTCATTTTCTTTATTTTCAACTTTTTTAAAGTTTGGATACGTAACAAAGTTACGTAAGTTAGAGGGCGAAACCACTCTATTACCAGCTAAAGGCTTCGAAATCATTCGATCATCGTTTTGATTCGGTACTGGAAAAGCGATTTGTTGCGAGTACCGACCTGCGGTTGATTCATCGGGTTGATTTCCATTATTACCAACATCATTTTCCGGCCAATGAACTACGGGGATGTCTTTAGAACTAGTGTGCATTGAAGGATTGGCAAATCGATGACGTGATTGATAATCAGCCCTTATGAACTGTTGATATGCCACTGGGATAGCGTCCTTTGATGCAGATGTCTGCTTCACAAAACTATCGATGATCAGTGACGGATCTGTTCCGCTGTATTGGTAGCCATGACTAGCTGGATCTGTCTCTCTCAGCCCGTAAGTTGGGTGCACGTATTTAGCGATTCCAAGAGTTTTTGATGCATCGGGATTCAAAGGAAGGACCATCATGGTTGGAATAATTTTTCGCCAGCTCTTGGCTATCTCTTTGGTGACGTCATATGCATACCAATAACGTATAAGACGAACTGGATCCCACATAACGTGCATCATCATTTTCATTATGCCTCTCTTCTGGCGAAGTGAACGAGAAAAGCAAGGTTCTAAGAATGTAGTTGATACTGTCAAAAGTAGTAGAAGATGGTGTTGAAGCAATGTCATCTTTAGCTTTGAAAATAAAAAGATTTTTTTTTAATATTTAATTGCAACTTATTACAATTTAATAAATAACTTTGCCCGTATTTTGAATATGCTTACATTCTTAGTGTTCGATGGGCTTTGAATTAAACAATAGCTTAGGCGTCTAATGGAAATAATAAAGACTTTTTCAAAACGGCAACAGCTTTCTTCGACTTTTGGCAGACAATTTACAAGTAAAATAATTCCTTTTTTTTTTTAAAAAAAAAAAGTCAATTCCTACTTAGCTCAACAAAGAAAAATTTTTATTTTTGTTACTTTTTTATTAAATAATTAAAAATTTTTCTCCCATATAAAACTAATATTTATTAATTAAATTTAATTAATGAATTAATCTTTGAAAAAATGGTTTTAACATCAAGTGCCATCCACTACAAGTTTTAAAAAAATGCATTTGAATTTGAATGGATGAATAAAAAGTACTTTATGAACGATTAAAAATTTGAACAAGATAAATAATTATATAAAGGAGGAATGTGAACTATAGGAATTGGTTCATGTTCTTCATTGAATTTATCTGATACAGCTACTATAAAATAATTAAATGTGCGCAATAAAACAGTTTTTTTGTCAAACAGAGCTATAAGTTAGAAAATATCACTGATGCTATTATTAATATATGTGATAAAACTGAATAGCTTATAGTAAAATTTAAAACAATGACTAACACTTAACCCATCAGAATTTATTATGAATTATTCATCGTTAAATAGGGATGAATTTATTATGTTTCACATGAAAAGAAATGTAATGCTTCGAAAAACTTATATTATTTATAGAAATGTTTTTTATTTTCTTTTAATCTTACTCAATTTTTTTTAACTACGCAAATTGTGATTTATTATTTTGATATTCGAATTTCAGAATGATATAAAAAATCAGTTTTTAAATATANCTACTATCGTCCAAGAAGTTGGACCAAGTTCTTGGATGTTTGTTTACACGATCAAAGCTCAAAGCAAAACAAGTTTCCATCAATATCAATCAATCTCTGTCCAAGAAATTGGATCGTCTAAACAGGCCTTTATAGTAAAATTTAAAACAATGACTAACACTTAACCCATCAGAATTTATTATGAATTATTCATCATTAAATAGGGCTGAATTTATAATGTTTCATATGAAAGGAAATAGTAATGCTTTGAAAAGCTTACATTATTTATAGAAATGTTTTTTATTTTATTTTAATCTTACTCAATTTTTTTTAACTACGCAAATTGTGATTTATTATTTTAATATTTGAATTTCAGAATGATATAAAAAATCAGTTTTTAAACATATATTAGTATAGTTTAAAATTTCTTTTGAATTTAATTAATATTTGCAAATTATAAAACTTTAAAAAATTATATTTAATATCAATAAAATATGCAAATTTTTAATTTTTTTAGCACAAGGACAGTAGTTACAAAGGTTATTAATTATTTTAATTTATAAAAGTCAAGGAAGAACAAATTAAAAGGTTTAGAGCATAAAGTTCCTTTGATGCTATAAAGAAACAATGATCTTCAATGAAGCTTTGTGCCGACAACAATGAATGAATGAAAGAAAAAAATTCATCATCCCTATTTAATGAATGAATTAATATTTGAAAAAATAACTGTATTAATATCAAGTGCCATCTACTACAAGTTTAAAAAACTTGTGTTTGAACCTGACTGGATGAATAAAAAGTATTTTATTAACGATTTAAAATTTGATATAAGGAGAGTATGAACTAACAGTAGGAATTAAAAAAGGAGTGCACCTAACAACAAAACAATCGTTGGTTATATCTGACGTTTTCTAGGTCGAACAGTTTGCTCCAACAGGTCTTCTAATATATTAGCTACCCCACTTCCTCGAAATATAAAATCTCAATTAATTTTAATGAGTACTTTTTATAGTGTTATTTATTAGTTTAGATCAGCAACTCTTGTTCTTTCTATTACCTTTTTATATGCTAACAAGCAGTGATCATTAATTACCCAAACCAAAAGTAATATTTAATTACCTAATTAACTAAATTAAATGAAATATAAATTAATTTTTTTTGGTGAATTTATCAGGCATTAAATAACGTCCGAGGCAAAAAATACGAATTTTGAGATTTTTCTTTTGTTATCATTTCAACGAAAATGATGTCAATTAAACTATTATTCTAATAGCTATTTTCAATTATAATACATTATTTCAGTAATTTTCAATTAAAATGTCTCAATTAATTATAGACAATGCTATTAAAAAAGTAATATTTAAAAGGAGAAAAAAGCTCTATTTTTATTTCAAATAGTCATAAATAAACTCTCCCATTGTACTTAAAGAGATATTGAAACAATTAGGCCTTTTTATTTTTTATTGATTTATTTTTATTTATCTATTTTTATTTATTTATTTTTATTTATTTTTCTTTTTTATTTGCATATTTTTTATCCGCAATCATTTCAACTATTTCTCACAAAAATGGTGCATACATGAAATTCGGCATATAATGATTTTAAATATAATACTTTGATTTTGTGAGAAATTTTTTTTTTATTACATTAAGTATTAAAACTTATGATTTAATTTCTTTAAAGAATAAAATACTGAATATGCATTCTAAATTTTATATTTTTCAAATTTAAAAAAAATTTGTTATAGCAAATAATACTGTCGAAATAGGAAATTATCGAAGCATTTTAATTTAAAATAGAATAATATTTTTTCTTAAAACCCATTAGAGACGTAAATTGTTTAATTGGCAGTGACATAAAAAAAATTTCCTATTAAAAAAAGTTATTATTTTTTTAACTAAATAAATATATTCTTCTGTTAGCTACTACTTGGAATTTCGAAAAGAATCAAAAACATTAAAATCAGAAGAATTCTCACATTTTGCGTGACATATATGTCACGCTAGCTCAAAATATGTCATGAAGCATAAAACTGTAAGTTATAATTTTTTTTTATATTCTTAATTAATAAGAAACTAGAAAAAAAAAATTTTTTTTAAAAATGTTTTAACATGTAGCAAAGCTGATTTGTGCACATTTTTTGTAAATTTATCAAGTGATACAAGAGCACAAAAAAATCGGAGGAAAAGTTTTTTTAGTTAATTAGAAACTAGAAAAAAAAATTTTTTTTAATGTTTTAACAAGTAGCAGAGCTGATTTTTGCACATTTTTTGTAAATTTATCAAGTGATACAGGAGCACAAAAAAATTGTAAAAAAATTTTTTTTAGTTAATTAGAAAATCGAAAAAATTTTTTTTTTCTTAAATGTTTTAACAAGTAGCATAGCTGATTTTTGCAAATTTTTTTGTAAATTTATCAAGTGATGCAAGAGCACAAAAAAATTGGAAATTTTTTTTTTCTTAGTTAATTAAAAACTATAAATTTTTGTTTTAAATGGTTTAACATGTAGCATAGCTGATTTATGCACATTTTCTGCAAATTTATTAAGTGATACAAGAGCACAACAAAATTGAAAATAAATTTTCTTCAGTTAATTGGAAATTAGAAAAAAAAAAACAATTTTCGAAATGTTTTAACGTGTGGCGTAGCTGACTTGTACACATTTTTTGTAAATTTATGAAGTGATACAAAAGCCACCAAAAAAAAATTTGAAAATAATGCAGCCGTTTTTATAAATCATAAATTAAGTTTGAAACTAACTACAATAACAATTCGAATTTTGTAAAATCACACCGAAACAAATATAATTATAAGTAAGAAAATGACTAAAATCTTTTTCACTGTACTTACCTGAGTTTTCTTTTTTCCTTCTTTAATAATATGAGAGTTGTTTTCGTCACATAATCCACAACATATAGTCCTCCCTCATGTTTGTAAAAGTTGTGAAGGTGTTTGGCGACTTAAAATGGGGTCTCGCCTACTGGTAAATAGTAGCTATTTCTTATTTAAGGTTCATTAAAAAACACACAACTTTATATCCGGTCTTTTGTACTTTTTTTCGAAGACGTGGGGCAAAGGAAGAATGTTCCAATTCTGTCCATCACTGTTTCAGTTGAGTAGACCATTTAAAAATTGAGTTGTTTACAATTGAAAATAATGTAACATTCCATTTTGTTTGATTGGAAGAAGGAAGAAAAAATGCGCTCTGTAAATTAAAGAAGTTCGCCAAGAAGAAAAAAAAAAGAAGAAAGAACTAAATTTAAATCAGTGTTGTTATGATGCATGCAGTACCTGGTCAAACTATTAGACGTACTGTAAGATTCTATATAAAATCTTACAGCTTTATTGTTTTTACGAGGCTGAAACCGGTTTACATTTGTTTACGTTCGTGACTCAATTGGATAAATTAGACAATATATAATATAAATTCGACGATTGGACAAATAGGACGATATATTATACAAATATGGAATATTTATTATATCAGGTATTATATTACTTAATAATCAGACTAAATTATTAGACGCACTGTAGTTTTTTAATAGTTACATGTTTCGCACGAGTTTATATGCTAAACCTATATATTTAAACATACACGTAATGGGCTTTTATTCAAAATATTTTTTACATACTTCCTATTTGTATTTATTTTTAACGTATTGCATTACAGTGTTAACCCATTGACACACGAATGTAAACAAGTGCAAACCGGTTTCAGTCACCTGATAATTGAGATTTTACATAGAATCTTACAGCGCATTTAATAATTTGGCAGACTACGAAATAAAAACTTTTATAATTTACGTCAAAAATTTTAGTCAGGCTCAAAGGAAATATTCTTAAACTTAAAATAGAGACAAGTGATAAAAATTTAATATTTGCTATTTTTAGAGGCATGATTAGGAAGTCGTCAAAATTGAAATTTATTTCGATAAAATTGGACAGTTTTTAAACAGTAATATTTTTTCTACCTTCTCAGTATAGTTTAATTGTAGTCATAGTGTAACTTGTAATGTAATTTGACGGAGTTACAAATTGGGTCGGCTGTTTAACGACGGTTATAAAATAAAATAAAGTTTTAGTCACATTTTTAATGAAATTTAATAACATTCCTAAATAGCATCGCAGTTGACCCTCTTTTAAGTCAGAAAACAGTAAAACATTTCGATTGGCTGTAAAATGTAGAGCGTGCGATAAATTTTTTTATTGAAATTTATTTTCAAAAAATTTAAAAATAGTTTTTGCATTATTTTAATTTTTAAAGAAGTTTTATATAAAACAACAAAATATACTCATTTATAACATTAGAAATTTAAATACTTTTCGCAAACAATTACCTATAATTTTTAATTGATATGCAGTGCTGTTTGTAATACCTTTTTAAGAATTTTTTTTTAAATTATCGATGATTTTAAGTTTGTTAATGAAGCATATTATTTTTATATGACAAACTTCTTCTTTACCTAAAATTTCAATGAGTCTCTCGTTTATTAAAATATAAAACTATTTTTTATCCCTTAATCTACATAAAAAGAGTAGTTATTGAACTTTATAATTCATTCTGTTACTAATGAAAGTTTTCATTGCAATTTTTATCACTGTTTACAATGAAATAATATTAATATTGAAAAATAAATCACAATCTTTAGAGTCCGGTTTTATGTTTATTTAATCAAAACCTATGAACGTTATTTAAAAAATAAATAAATAAATCCTTATACGCTAAGATTGAAAGAAAAAAAACCTTTTCTCTGCGTGGTCACGCTTCAAATCCAATTCAATGTCAAAATAAAATTAAAAAAAAGAATAATAATTAAATAATCTTTAAATCGAGAAGGAAATTCGTAAGTGAGGTGAAGATCGCAAAAGAAGATGTCGGTCACGAAAGTGGAATAACGACCTTTTTGTAAATCGAATCGTATTAATATTAAAGGTAATCGAATCGAAACGAATGACCTTTTAATTGTTGGCTTAAGAATTGAACGTGTGAATTTTTGCCGGTTTTAAATGCGTAACAAGGTGAACATTGTCTTTCTGTCTGAACTTCTAAAATAAGCAATATATTTACACTACTCTATAATAATTTAAGACTGTTTTTGCACGGTGTCTGCGCACCTGGAAAGTCATGAAAAATCATGGAAAGTCTTGGATTTCGGTATTGAACAAAATTTGTCATGATTTTAACTATTTTTTATTAAAAGAAAAATCAAGGATTTAGGTCACCGAAAAATCTAATTTTTAAAATAGAATGTAACCCCCCCCCCCAAATACCATGGTGTTCCGATGTTCGAATTTGTAACAAAAACCTCATTCTCAGTCATAGTTTATTAAAATATAAAATGTTTTTATTGTGTTCTTTAAAAATTATGGTGTTCTTTCAAAAAATGAAAGAAAAAACATCATTTCTATAGCGAATTATCTTTTAATCTTCTGTGATTTCAGAATTTTTATAAATTTATTTATTATTTTTATTTTATCAATTTAAAATTCTAGCTGAAGCAAGCCAGTCATTGGCGAATTTTTTTAAATTCCGAAATGAGAACAGAAAAATCACTAGTATTCCTTTCCTTTCGAACGAACAAGAAAAGTATCTTTAGAATATAATTCTACAAAAGAAAAATTTCTTTTTCTACAAAAAGAGAAAAAAAATTTTGCTTTTTTATTTTTTTCAACTATTTAATTGCTTCAACTCTTTCTTTACCCTGTGCTTTAAATTTAAAATCTAAAAATATGAGGATGCAGAGTATAAAAGTTTTGGTTATATCAATCATTTTAATTAATGTTATTATAATGCTTATTTAAATTTATTTCTGTGTTTTCGTCGGAGAAAATAGTAACTTCGTTAAGTCATGAAAAATTCTTGGAACTAGCCATGGATTTGAAAATCTAAAATGCAGCAAATGCCCTGTTTTTGACATTTTTTAAAAAATTTCTAGAGATTATTGCATAAGATTTAGAAGATTGCTGCATAACTTTAGAGGTGTTTAGATCATGCGATTTTCTATACTCATCAATAAAGTTTACGAATGAAAACAAGCATTTGTGAACACCCTATGACATAAATGGAGTGGTATGTTACTCCTCTGAGAATATTAAATTAGCAGAATTAAATTTCGGTCGTATGTTGGCAACAAGATCACATAAGTGACGTCATACTGTGGTAATTTAATTACTGAATTTGTATAAAAGGCATGTATTGTTGAAAATAGTTGTAACTTCGTTATTTCACGTCAATATTCTGTTGTGTTTGGGTGATGTAACCCTTATATGTGTTATATACCCAAACCCTTATATATACTTGATATATATCCTTACCCTTATATATACTCTTACACTTATATGTTACCCTTATATGTTATGTTTATTATAAGTAATTATAATTTCAGTTGCTTGCCTTGGTACTGTGTTTAATAAAAATATTCATTATAGGTGTTGCCACATTCATTCACTATTTACTGAGCATGCTCAGGCAGATTTTTTCGTAAACTTAGTTTAAATATTTATGCACATATTTTTTTAAAAATATTTTTCTTGTCTTACGTTTTCCATTTACTGTACAAAAATATTCAATAAAATAAAGCAAGCAATATTGGTTTAAATAACTTGGAAAATAAATTTGGAATAAATTGGAGCAATTTTTAATTAACAACAAAATAATTGTTTTAACAGATGTGTTAAAAATTGCAGAAGATACGAGCATTTAAAGTAGTTCTCCTACACCACGCATGCGCGGAAAAAAGGAAATAATTAACCTTACAATAAGCCTTACCAATAATTTACATTACAATAAGTCTTACCATACCTTAGCAACCTTACCTTGCAATAAACGTCCATGCACACAAATGTTTATGGTATAAGGGAAGAAGTAAGTCAAAGAAAATATACATTTGAAGGGAATGATCTCTTACAAAGCCGGTGCCATTTTTAATAAATTTTGTTCAATAGAACAAAATTAAATTTATGAGAAACTTTTCATTTAAAACGTTCTTTAAAAAAGTACAAAAACTACTTATATTAAATATTCAAGATATTCAAATCGGACTTTTTTTCATTAATTATTAAAACAATTTGCTGCAAAATTATAAGAAATTTTTTTTTCCTTCCTATTTTTTTTCAGCGCATGCGCGATATACGAAAGGGATTTTAAATGCTTATTATCTCCTGCAATTTTAAACAAATTGTTGAAAATTATAGTTTCGTTGTTAATTAGAAATCGCTTAAAATTTTTTCTTTAATTTTGTAGAATATTTGTGAAGTTACAGCAAAAAAACGTAAGACAAAAGAACTTTTTTTTTTTATAAAAATGTTGATATCGCCATAAATATTTAAGCTACGTTTATAAAATTCTATGCAGTTATTGCAAATAACAACCAAAATAATCGTTGTGAATTCCAAGCTAATTGCAATATTTCAAGACATAGGGTGCTAAAAAATACTTGTTTTGGTTCGTAATTTATTGCCAGTCCCTCATACCTTTGAAAGTTTCAAAATAATCCTTTAAGTATTTCTTGAGAAATTTATAAAATTTCGAAAACTGAATTATATAACATGTATGTGTATATATATTCGTATCTGTATATTTGCTTTGGCAATATTAATACAATATTAAAAAGCACTCCTTATTGTGGATATAATAGAGTGAGCTTATAGCGAGATTATATCTTTTTAAAAGGGCTTAACACTCTAACAATTTATTAAAATTTATAACATTATGTAATCACTGAATTTTATCCTCCACAATTTTTCCTCCGCGAATTATCCTCCACAATCCAACACAAAGAAATCCTCTCTCATTATCAATATAAGAGAAAAATGTGTAGTTCATAAAAGTAATTAAAGGCATGCTAAAAGACAATCTCTGTGCATAATTTTGCTTTCAAAATAAGTTAACTGAAAAAAAATTTTTTTGATAAACAAACTTTCTTTCGATAATTCAAACTGAAAGTTATGAGAAAAAGAACATTTAAAGGCGCATTTAAAAAAAGAAAAAGAAAAAAGCTATTTATTAAAAAACTAATTTTGAAGTTAAAAATCACTTAAAAAATTTATTAATCTCCTCCCCCGAAAAAAAAAGAAAAACTTGTAAACATTTCTCCAGTTGAGAAATGTTTACAAGTAAAAGTAAAAGTAAGTCCTCACAAAATAAATATTTATAATAGTAATCAGAATTAAACCTATAAACGCAGATAGTTTTACCGGGGTGTAATTATTATTTAAACAGTGAATTAATTTTTTTCAAAATGGAATAAGAATTACAAAGCAGTGTTTTTAAGGGATGGAGACTTATTTTTACAAAAAGGGCAAAAAAGAGGGCGCAT